GAGGACCTTGATCACTGCTTTCTGTAATGCTTCCCTCTACTGCAAGAAGCAATTCCCCACCCAGATAAAAGCAATATGTCTGACAAAAAAAGAGAAAAATATGACTCACTCAATAAAGTAGACTTCTCCTTTTTCTGTATAAGCCATTTCCCAATTATCAGGCAATGGGCCCAAGTCATCGTTCTCTTCAGGTTTTGTCTGCTTTGTTACATCCATGTCCTCCTTTGCTTCTTCAGGCTGAGTATATCCTGGTGCAGGACAAGGTTGGGTGGAAGATACCTCCGCTGAGACACCTGTACTCTTTTCTTCATGTTCACTTGATTCTACAAGAGAAGAAAAAAACATTATTTTTGGATATCTAAGCAAATGATGGATAATTTACTGCGTGCAACCTTCAAGCAACATGTCATGAATTGCAAAGCCTCGAAATAAAGGAAAAAATCTGCTGGATTTACACAAGGGGTCCCTCCAATTATGCATTTTATCCAAACCACAATATGAGAAAAATAAAACAATAAAAACAAACGAAAACAACAAACTAACAAAGATCAAAGAAATCTAAGAGTTCCGGATCATTCTGCCCAGACCAGCAGTTAGCACTGAGCAGAAGGCAGCCTTGTATCCATCTTGTGGCTCCAAGCTTCATAGTTTTTCAAACTGAAGAACCATAAAGTAAATACCCTGCTGCTTTTTTTTCAGAAAAATAGATCCTTTTTAATTAAGAAAGCATATACACTTATTGCTTTTCCTATACCTATAGATAGCAAAGAAATCAATATGACAACCTTGCAACTCATAATGATGTATACCAAATGGTTGGGATTTCATTACTAGTATTATCTGTTAGAAGCTTAGTTGCCACCAGCCAGTGCGAAGTTCCTCCCATACATGTCACTATATCCCATAACATACTCAGGAAGGTCCCTTCCTTTCCTTTGCTTTTTTAAAGTACTTGATCTTTCACTCTTTACTGATTCTACTTTCCAGAAAGTAGAAAAGTCAGAAATCAAGTCGTGTTCCTTTTTCCAGGAGTATCTCTGCCACCCTCCGTTCCCACAGTCCAATCCAGGCACTCTTAGCTAAGTAAGAAGTACATTAGACATAGCAACAACTACTAAAATAGCACTGAAAAAAAAACCCATAAGACAAAACCACAAATGCACCTCAATGAAACCTCTGCTAAACAGAGAGCAGGTAGGAGTCTAAATGCTCATTTATTTACACTGCAGAATATTTGCCTCCACACTACACGCTCACCTGTGTGAACAAGTATTACATAGGAGGGCTTCCATGCATAAAGCTAAGGTAAGGAAAGTGAAGAAACAATCTTTTCCTGACTAAGTACTAGCTGAGACAGAGGATGTTTGAGAGAACTTGTACTAGCAAAGAAACAGAGGTTTCTTGGCCCATGCAGGTGGAAAAACTTGGATGTTCAAGCTACTAGATATGTGTTTGCAAGCAGTACTTTATTATATGGTCCATCGAGGAACTACCTCTTAAAATTGAAGCAGAAATATGTTGTCTCAGTGGACAACAGAAGTGCCCAACCTCCGTCCCTGGATCTGTGCTTTCTGCTGCACTTAAATGAAAACTGACCTCATTTAAAATGTGGACCTCTGTATTTGGCTAAATGTAGGGCTGTAACTAAACTGCAAAAAAGACAAATTCATCACACTGATGATATATTGATTAAACCTCCACTGATTATAAGAGGATTCTAGTCATGTCAGAAATGACCATGCTTATGAAGACAGTTCAAGTGAATTCGGTCCTGCTTTGACTAGATGCTCAACTTCTGATTAAAATAAGAGGAGGTGAATCTTGGACCTAAGGAGCAAGGCTTTAAATTTTATCTATAGGAAGGCAGCTGCTAGAAGTTCATCAACAGATGTAGATCATGAAGATGTGGACAATGAATATGTGATGTCTGAGAAGAACAAAATGGGAACTGGATCTTGTAGCACTTAATCAGAATGATACTTAATTGCCACACCAGAGATTAGATGGGGAATACTACATACAGCTTTTTCCTAAAGATATGTAATAACATTTGTGGGTTACATGAGTGGACCCTGAGGTGGATTAACAATTGGCTGGATGGCAGAGCCCAGAGCATGGTGATCAGCAGTGCAGAGTCCAGTTGGAGGCCTGTAGCTAGCGATGTCCCCCAGGGGTCAGTGCTTGGTCCAGTCCTGTTCAATTTATTCATCAATGACCTGGATGAAGGCACAGAGTGCTCCCTCAGCAAGTTTGCTGATGATACGAAACTGGGAGGAGGAGCTGATACCCCAGAGGGCTGGGCTGCCATCCAGAGGGACCTGGACAGACTGGACAACTGGGAGGAGAGAAACCTCATGAAGTTCAACAAGGTCAAGTGCAAGGTCCTGCACCTGGGGAGGAATAACCCCAGACACCAGTACAGGCTGGGGACTGACCTTCTGGAGAGCAGCTCTGTGGAGAGGGACCTGGGTGTCCTGGTGGACGACAAGTTGACCATGAGGCAGCAGTGTGCCCTCCACATCTGGAGTATTGTGTGCAGTTCTGGGCTCCACAGTACAAGAGGGATGTGGAGCTGCTGGAGAGAGTCCAGCGCAGGGCCACAAGGATGATCAGGGGCCTGGAACATCTGCCCTATGAGGAGAGGCTGAGGGAGCTGGGCCTGTTCAGCCTGGAGAAGAGAAGGCTGAGAGGGGACCTGATCAGTGTCTTTAAGTACCTCAAGGGAGGCAGCAAGGACGATGGGGCCACCTTCTTTTCACTGGTGGCCACTGACAGAACTAGAGGAAATGGCCAGAAACTGAAGCACCAAAAGTTCCACAGGAACTTAAGGAAAAATTTCTTAACAGTGAGGGTGACAGAGCACTGGAACAGGCTGCCCAGAGAGGTTGTGGAATCAGCTCCTCTGGAGATCTTCAGAACCTGCCTGGATGCCACCCTGTGCCTCGTGCTCTAGGTGAGCCTGTGTGTGCAGTGGGGTCAGACTATATGATCTCTAAAGGTCCCTTTCAACCTTAAAGATTCTATGATTCTATGAATAAAGGAATAAAAGAAATACGTATGGTTTCGTATCATTATGAATGCATGTACACCACTTGCTTTGGATGATATGGAGATCTTATTTTGACATACATATTGAATGTCTGTAGATAATCATTAAGAAAAGGAGGAAAATATTTTTAAAAAGAAGCCCACAATGTAGTCCATTTATTATCAGTAAACAGTAAGTTCAAGAAGATGAACATGTTTTAAAGAACTAATGGATGTATCCAGAGCACAGAACTATGCAGATATTTGTGCAGAACATGTAGGAGGTGGAAGACAACTTGAGTGAAATGAACTATTTTGTGATTCTTAGGAAAGCAATAAATAACAACAAAAAATAACACCAATGGACTTCAAAAGCAGATTTCAAAAAAAAACTAGTAAGAATTAGAATTAGTAAATTTGATGTTTGGTCTTATGGCATGCAAGGGCAAGGAGAAAGTTCAGGAGAGCTGGTAGGGATGAAATAAACAATACTAAGAGCAAAAGCACAAATTGTCCTAATGAAAAGGTTAGAAGGTAAATATAATCAGAGATCATTTTGATTATGCTATGACTATGCAATGGTGTTCTACCAGATACAGAATTGTACAAAAAATGAAAACTAGATTAAAGTTAACTGAGGATGGACACATAAAAATAGTGCACATGCAAGGAAAGTCAGTCTACAAAATGGGATGCTGTCAGGGACGTTAGGGGTAACAAGAAAACTTTCTGTAAGTATATTGATAAGGAGACCAAAAGCAGATTTCACAATGTGGGAAGGAAGGAAAGCTAATAGAAAACAAGGTATTTAGTGCTCTTTTTGCCTCAGTCACTACTGAAAAGATTACCTATGATTAAATGACTAACATAATTAACGTCAGCAATAGGAGTAAAGAACTCAGATTAGAGTGGGCAGGGAACAGGTCAAATGCAATTTAGATAAAGCAGCCATTTTAAATCAACAGAGCCTGCTGAAATGAAATGTAGAGTATTGAGGGAACCAATGAAGCAGAACCATAGCTAGTAGTGGCTACACCTTTGAGGATTCTTAAAGAAAAGAAGATTAGTTTAAACCAGTCCTGGTTTAAACACAGTATCCATTAAGGGTTTTTTTATATCAAATTTAGATTTTTAGATAGTTTCATATTCTGAAATTCTGGGTACCAAAGTTCCCTTTGAAATAATTTGCTTAATTAGGCCATAATGTCTTTTTGTAAAAGAGGGGTAAGGAAATGTAACTTCACTAGAAACTTCAATCTATTTTTAATTCCTAGAAGGATGGTGGGACCAGCAATCGAACCACCTACATGTAAGCTCTTCAAAGGTGATAAGTAATTGTCAAGATTTATCAAGAAGGAATTTTGCCAAGCTAATCTTACTTCTTTTCATGACAGAGTAACAGGTGTTGTTACTTGGGGAGAAATAGTAGACATATCTTGATGTTAAAAAAAAAGACTTTAGACAGTGACACATACAGCCTTTTGGAACAGTGAGAAAAAAAAAAAATCTAGACCAGGTCTACATCAGGGTGATGATAGTCTATGGCTCTGCAGCCGTATGTAGCTCATGTGCTGTTTAAATGGAAGTCATACCTAAGCTGTGGGTGATTGCTAGCATTGCCTGCTGCTGGGAAACGTGAATCTTTCCATCTGAGGGAAGAAATAAATTAGCAAGAGACTCAAATGCAAGTTTTGTCCAGTTGAATCTCACAACAGAGTGGTAGGATCTCAGGAGAGCTGAAGTTACCTCCTCCTTATCTAGTACTCCCAAATTATTGTCTCCTTAGCCTTCCAAAGTGCAAGGCATGGCTGATACAAAACACCAGTCAGCTATGTGAATGCAAAATGGAAAAAAACTCCCTCAGCAGAAATGCTACTGAAAAATGCAGAGTGGAGGTATGAAGATGTGTGAGGGATATCTAACTATTCCCCTCAATTAAATATAATATTAATATTAAAAAAAATCATAACAGGTAGGAAGGGTAAGCCTATGCAAATACATGTCCTTCCACCTTTATCTACAGTAAGATTTCAGCAGAAGTACTGTTTCAGGGACTTCATTTCAAGGAAAATTTGAAACTGTTCAGAGCAGAGCAACAAAAATGGCAGAAATATGGAAAGAAGAACTGGTCTTTTTAGTCTTGAGAAGAAAGAGAAGACAGATGGATAGAGAAAATATTTTTAATTATATAAAAGGCAGAGTGGATAGGCAGTCTCCATGTCCCATGAAAATATGAAGCTATTGCAAATAATTCCTTTTTTTTTTTCTATTTCTGCAAAGCAAAAGAAAGTTTACA